AGTCAAGGACGGCCCAGAGCTTTGGGTCTCTGCACCTGCATAGGAGACCCGGAAGAGTTCCTGGCTCCTGGCTCCTGGCTCCTGGCTTTGGATTGGCTCAGCTCCAGCTGTTGCAGCTGTTTGGGGAGTGAATCCTCAGACAGATGGAAGATCTTCCTCTCTGTCTTCTCCTTTCTGTATATCTGCCTTCCAATAAAAATAAATCTTTTAAAAAAATTGTGAACCCAGAGAGAGGCCAAGTGATAGTTACTTACCTGTGTATGCGTGGTCCCAGACACAAGGTGAGAGGAGGTTCGGCCAGTCAGTTAGTTGTCACCTGCTTCTCCCCTTAGATGCCTGCAGCAGCTGAGAGTGGGCCAGGCTGAAGCCTGTGTACTGACGGCGTGGATTATCAAGAGCTTGGATTCAGGAGCAGAGCCGGGACTCCAATCCAGGCACTCCTGTGTGGGGCGGGGGTTCCACACACCCACTGCATACTTGACCCACTTCAGCTGTAGGCTACATTGAAATTTTGGGGACCCAGTGTGATGGCTCAGTGGCTAAATCCTCACTTTGTATGTGCCGGGATCCCATATGGGCGCCGGTGTATGTCCCGGCTGCTCCATTTCCCATCCAGCTCCCTGCTGGTGGCCTGGGAAAACAGTTGAGGAAGGCTCCAAGTTGGGACCCTGCACCCACATGGGAGACCTGGAACGAGCTCCTGGCTCCTGGCTTCGGATCAGCTCAGGCCAAGCTGTTGAGGCCACTTGGGAAGTGAACCAGTTGATGGAGAATCCTCCCTATGACTCTGACTTTCCCATGAAAATAAATCACTCTTTAATTTTTTGTAAGGTTGCAGAGTGCTTGTGTGCCCTGAGTCCTGCCCACACCTCCCGGCCTTTGCCCTGTGTCCCTGCAGCCGTCGAGCTGCTCTGTCCTGGAGGTGCCTGTTCTGGCCCGCATGATGGACTGTCTCTTGTGTTTTAGGTTTTGGATTCATTCTTGTTACATTTCAGTGCTTGTTACCTTATTTTTGGTTTGCTTTTTTGTCCGAATAACATTCCACAGGATGGGTAGACCATAGTTGTTCATTTGCTCCCCAGCCATCTGAGCCCCGGAGGTTTGTATGTGGGAGCTGGGAGAGACCCCTGGCTCGGAGTCGCTTCGTGTGTGATGCCGGGAGTAGCACAGCTGCTTCGTGTGTAATGTACGGCAAGTTTTTTTGTTTTTTAACAGGTTGAGATTATTGTAATTAATACATTTCCACATGTGGTGGATCAGCAGATAATGCAGAAATTGAGTTGTGAAGGGATTTTTTGTCGTGATGTCAGTTACTAGAGGGGAAAATGTTTTTCCTTAAGAATTTTATTCTTGGGCCCGGCGCGGTGGCGCAAGTGGTTAAGGTCCTCGCCTTGCACGCCCGGGATCCCATATGGGCGCCGGTTCTAATCCCGGCAGCCCCACTTCCCTTCCAGCTCCCTGCCTGTGGCCCGGGAAAGCAGTTGAGGACGGTCCAAGGCTTTGGGACCCTGCACCCACGTGGGAGACCCGGAAGAGGCTCCTGGCTTCAGATCGGCATAGTATCGGCCCGTTGCGCTCACTTGGGGAGTGAATCATCGGACGGAAGATCTTCCTCTCTGTCTCTGCTCTCTGTATATCCGCCTTTCCAATGAAAAAATAATAAAAATAAATCTTTAAAAAAAAAAAAGAATTTTATTCTTATTTGCAAGGGCGTCATACTCGTACCGTGCGGTGCAATGGGGGATGCTCCCATCGCGCACCCAAGTCCAGCTTCCTCTGGTGAGCAGAGCGCCTCCTGGGAAAGTCTCCATCCATGGTGTGTTGTGAGCCTTGTGTGCATGTGCTTGATCAACCTGAAAGGGGAAGCAGAGAAGGAAAGAAATACCTGGTTTGACAGCCTGTCCAGCGGTGCCCCGTGTCCACGGTCACCTGTTTCTCACATGTGGCTACTCATTTCCTCCTGCCAGCTCCTGGTGCCTTGTGGTAATGTCAGTCACGATCCCTGTGTCTGTGGGCATGCTCTGTAGGCCGTCGTGCCATTGCCGAGGAGCTTCAGGAGCTCCAGGGTCATGGCGCAGTCCTTGTGCTGTTGTACCATGGGTTAATTTTAGGTGTTTCTTAGAGAACGAACGGCCGTGAAAGTAATTATCAGTTTTTCCTTGAACTTATCATAGAGTCTGAGATTTAGAAGATAGATGTGGTTATTTGAATATTTACAACTTGATAGCTTCTGGAGACTGCTCTCAAGGTCAGAGGGGCCAGGGTGTCCTGCAGGTGGGACCTGGGCAGGGAATAATGCCTGCAAGACAGTGCAGGGGCGATGGGGAAGACCAGCACGTGACGATGCAGAGAGCGATAGAGGGAGCCTTCCGTGCTCAGGCTTGTCCCTGTGCGGCTGAGGCCAGAACCCCATCTGCGCTCTCCTGTGGGTTGCGGGGAGTCAAGGTCCCTGTGTGGAGCCTTGCCTGGAAGAGAGCTTTGGTGAGCACAGTCTCCCTGCCTTTCTCTCCCCACTGGGACGATGAGCTCGAAGGAGGACCTGCACTTTCCGGCATGCAGTGTTAGAATTGTTGAAGAAGTCTGGGCCTGTGGAACGAGGGAAGTGCGTGTGCATGCCCTGATCAGACATATGGGCCTGTGGTCTCACTGCTTTGTTATCCTATATTTAGTCTTGGAACGTATTGTTTATAGCGTAATCTTAGGAAACCTTTGAGAACTTTTGGTGCTGTATTTTAGCCATAAACCTTTTTTCTTAATCAAAAGTAAGTTTCACAAAAATGGAATTAGCAGTCAATATGTGAGAGCACTTCAGAAATTCATGGAAAACTGGAACCTAAGGTGAGCTGGGAGTGGATTTGTTGTGGAGTGTAAGAAGCCAGCTACGTGGCTGATTCGGCTTGCTACTACGTGCCCTGCAAGGCGGCTGGTGCTGTGCAGACACTGGTGCCCCCTGCTCTAGCCCGGGCTCTCACCTGGCCCAGGCCTGCTCATTGCTACGTGCCCTGCAAGGCGGCTGGTGCTGTGCAGACACTGGTGCCCCCTGTCCTGGCCCAGGCCTGCGCATTGCTAGCATTTGGGGAGTGAAGTGGTGCATCTTTGTCTCCCTGTGCATTTCAAAAAATAAACAAAAATTTAAGTTCACTTAGACACAGAAAAATGTGAAATCCATGCATGATGTTTAACAACACACGTTTCTCGTGAGCTCTGTTACATGCCTGCAGGCGTTTCCTACCACAGTGCCTCTTAGGAGAGCAGGTGTTTCTCCTGTCTCTGTAACAGAGTGAGCCGAAAGAAAGCAAAGGGGCAGTGTGCTGGCTCAGCTAGCTGACGCAAATCTCCAAGTGCGGGGATCCCATGCGGACGCCGGTTCATATCCCAGCTGCTAGCCTTCCCATCCAGCTCCCTGCATGTGAGTTGGGAAAGCAGTGGAGGACAGCCCAAAACCTTGGGACCATGCACCTGTGTGGGAGACCTAGAAGAAGCTCCTGGCTCCTGGTTTCGGGTCGATTCAGCTCCAGCCATTGCTGTCATTGGGAAGTATAAAGCAGCAGATGGGCTATCTTTCCATCTCGCCTTCATTCTAAGTCTGCCTTCCCAATAAAAATAAATAAATCTGCAAAAAAGGAAAATAAAAATAAAGAAATCAGCAGAAAGGAAAGAGGTGCTAGAGAGCGAAGTGCCTGGCAGAGACTCGTGCCAGCCCCATGTGCTGGCACACGAGTGCAGGCTGTCAGTGGCGCCCGCGCCTGCTGTCTGGCCGAGTGGCGAGCAGAGGAGCAGCTCCCTTTGCTGTGTGTAGGTATCTGATTAGGACCATAAACCCGTAGTAATGTTTTGTCCGAACCTGGCTCATAAAAATGCTGTTTCATTTTGGGAATAAAAGGGGCTCCAGACCCATGGGCTTGCATAATTGGGGTACCCTGGGAGAAAATGCATGATTTATCAAAGTCCAGGAGCAAGGTGTTAGCACTAAACCCCCGCTTTGAGAGGTGCTTTGAGAAGCATGCCAGGGGATGTGCATCGTGCCAGGCAGCAGCAGGTGGACCGAGTGCCACAGCAGGTGATCTGCCCCAGGTTCGAGAGCAGTCAGAAATGAGGGCAGAATGGACCTGTGTGCCTTCTGGGACTTGTACTCCGTAGCCCTCACAGGTAAGTGTTCTATGTTAGGCAATATGTAGACAGTTGAAGAATTTTCTCGCTATAATAGCTGAAGAATTACTGCTAGTAGAAGGGCTGCTTGCCGATCCTGCTCTGTGGAATGTGGTTTTGGTTTCAATTTTCTTTTTTTTTTTTTTTTTAAGATCTATTTTTTATTGCAAAGTCAGATATACAGAGAGGAAGAGAGACAGAGAGGAAGATCTTCCATCCGATGATTCACTCCCCAAGTGAGCGCAACAGCCAGTGCTGGAGGTGAGCCAATCCGGAGCCAGGAGCCAGGAATCTCCTCCAGGTCTCCCACGTGGGTGCAGGGTCCCAAGGCTTTGGGCCATCCTTGACTGCTTTCCCAGGCCACAGGCAGGGTGCTGGATGGGAAGTGGAGGAGCTGGGATTAGAACCGGCATCCATATGGGATCCCGGCGTGTTGAAGGTGAGGGCTTTAGCCACTAGGCCACCGCGCCGGGTCTGGTTTTAGTTTTCTGTGAGTTATGTGTCAGAGACATTCATTTGTAATCAAGTTATTCAGGTTCAGTCATCAAACTCTTGAACTTGTTATTTCTGATTATTGCTGATTTTACTGAGAACTGGGATTGTGAAAAAATAAGGGGAGAAGCTCCCAGATGGGGACTCTGATTGAACTTCCAAAAGACGTTCCTTCTCAGATGCCTACAGGGAGGCTTAGTTAGTTATATTGATTATTAGTGTGTCTGTTTAAAATTACAACTGTAACTATAGATCTTGATTTGTTTTCCCCTAGTTATTTTGAAAATTATACTTTGCCTATTAAAAGCTGAAGTCTGGTGTGCTGTTCCTTGCTTGAGCTGATTCTTTTTCTTTTTAAGGTAAAGTCCAAGTGCAGAGTTCCGACATTCAAGTTGGAGACCTCATCATAGTGGAAAAGGTTGGTACATTTTAAATACTGCTCACTCATAGTTCGCCCGATTGCAAGTGTCTTGAATCTGAAGACAGTTGAGACAGATATTTTAACCCTCATGTCCTTGAGTAAGATTTGATATACATGAAGAACCAGCTACATTTTGCGCCTTCTGTCTGTGTGGCTTGGATGTAGTCGGTGTACACAGGTGAGGTGTGCATTATGGCAAGTAGGGTGTGCTAACTGCTGATGGCACAGTGTCAGGACTGCTCAGAACCAGTAATAACGGTCCAGTTTTCAGAATTTCATTTACACACGGTGGTGCTGTGTATAGTTGTCACATGTAATTCTTAGAGTTTCCATTTAAAAAAGGAAAGGTAAATGGAAATAAAGATTTAGGGAACAAAGAGTGAACTAGAGTTAGTGTGGGAGGAAAATGAGAATCAGCATGGGAAAGAGGGAGGGTGGTCACACTGTTGGCCTGGTGTGTCATTCCCTCTGCCCTCCCCCTGTGCACACTGCACGCGTGTCTAATGTGTCTGCTGGGAGCCTGTTGGCTTCCTGTGGCATACGGGCATCTCCTGCCATGCATGTATGCCTGGGAGAGAACAAACCGAGCTGTGTTCTTCCGCCTCCCTGCTGATGAGTGAGTGCTGTGTGGACTCGTGTGGACTGCTCTGCTCATCCTGTCATTGACATGTGAGCGCCCTGCCCACTGTGTGTGTCTGCATGAGACAGTCTGTGCTAACTTGTGCTGCCTGCCTTGTGCTGGGATCCACTCTGTTCACGTCTCTTCTAGGTATGCGTTGACTTGCCTGCATACACTTTTGTGGATTGTCTCTTTTGATTCTTTAAGGCTGTGGAAGGTAGGTGCCCAGGAGGCCTCCTACATGGTATTTGAACTCTTGGTGACACACAGATATTCAGGACAGACTCGGCCTGAGCCACCTGGTAGGCATCAGCCAGGTAGGATCTCTCCCTCTGGGAGACAAAATGGCTTTTGCTAATGTTGGTCTGTACTCCAAGAATGTCTTGGATGTTTGCCTTTTACAAAAATTGTCTAAAAGCAAGTGTGTTTTGGTAACTTGTTCACATGGTCATCTGTGTCTGTGGGCCGCGCGTTCCGAGCCCTGTCGTTCTCCAGCCTCCTGCTGGTTAACAGCGTGCATTGCACACTTGCTGTGGGCGTGACTCTCACAAGAGGTGCTGCAGTTGGATCGTCTTTTCAGGAAGCATCAGGCTGAACTCAGTGTCGGTCCAGCCTGCAGAGCCTGAATCCTTCGAGGCTGGGCTTCTGCGTGAAGTGGGTGGCATGATAGGGTGCCTCTTTGGATCCTGATCTCAGTCTTCCCAGCACAGAGGCTGGCAGTGCTGGGCTCCAAGCCTTGGGTCCCCAGGGACTGTGCACTGTGTCCGTGCGGTGACGGGAAGGCTCCATCTGAGCCCTGATGGGCTCACTGTGTCCATTTCCTTCTGGGCCTGATTGCACTGCTGGGTCTTGACTAAATGTAAAAGGCTAGAACTGAAACTTTTTCAAAAAGTAAGATTTATTTATTTTTACTGGAAAGTCAGATTAACAGAGAGAAGGAGACTCAGAAAAAGATATCTATGCATTAGTTCACTCCCCAAGTGGCTTCAGCAGCTGCAGCTGAGCCAGTCTGAAGCCAGGAGCCAGCAGCTTCTTCTGGGTCTCCCACATAGGTGCAGGGTTCCAAACCTTTAGACCGACCTCCGTTGCTTTCCCAGGCCACAAACAGGGTGATGGATGGGGAAATCTGCAGCTGCCTTCCCAGCCAGCCGTCAGCAACACCCGCCATTTCTTTGGTCTGCATTAGCAGGAACTCAGGTCAGGAGTGGAGGCACAGAACCTACTGCGATAAGGGCCATGGACACACTGACTGACTGTAATAACGGGCGTGCACACACTGACCGTAGTTAGGGGCGTGCACACACTGACTGACTGACTGTAGTAAGGGGCGTGCACACACTGACTGACCGTAGTTAGGGGCGTGCACACACTGACTGACTGACTGTAGTAAGGGCCGTGCACACACTGACTGACCATAGTAAGGGCTGTGCACACACTGACTCACCATAGTAAGAGCCGTGCACACACTGACTGACTGACTGTAGTAAGGGCCGTGCACACACTGACTCACCGTAGTAAGGGCCATGCACACACTGACTGACCGTAGTAAGGGCCGTGCACACACTGACTCACCATAGTAAGGGCCGTGCACACACTGACTCACCATAGTAAGGGCCGTGCACACACTGACTCACCATAGTAAGGGCCGTGCACACACTGACTGACTGACTGTAGTAAGGGCCGTGCACACACTGACTCACCATGGTAAGGGCCGTGCACACACTGACTCACCATAGTAAGGGCCGTGCACACACTGACTCACCATAGTAAGGGCCGTGCACACACTGACTCACCATAGTAAGGGCCGTGCACACACTGACTCACCATAGTAAGGGCCGTGCACACACTGACTCACCATGGTAAGGGGCATGCACACACTGACTCACCATAGTAAGAGCCGTGCACACACTGACTCACCATAGTAAGGGGCGTGCACACACTGACTCACCATAGTAAGGGCCGTGCACACACTGACTCACCGTAGTAAGGAGCGTGCACACACTGACTGACCGTAGTAAGGGCCGTGCACACACTGACTCACCATAGTAAGGGCCGTGCACACACTGACTCACCATAGTAAGGGGTGTGCACACACTGACTCTTAGGCACTAGGTGCATGCCTGGTACTGTGGCTTTTATTTGGACATGACTGTGCCAGGCGGCTCTGCAGGCTGTGCCCTGCTGGAACAGCACTTGCACCCTGAAATCTGGGGACTGCGCAAGGGAGCAGGAAGGGTTCACAGAAGCTGAGTCTGCCCTCCGCTGGCCACTGGGGAGTGGCCTGTCAGCTGAGAAGGGGGTTTGTGTAGCGCACAGAAGACATTGTGTGAGCTCCAAAGCCTTAACCAGCATGGAGAAGCTTCGTGCTCCTGGCTTGTTAGACAGCCTTGCACATCAGCCCTGGGAGGGCACATGGTCACTGCAGTGTCATGATGTCCCAAAATGTCCCATGTTATCAGCAGGGCTCTGTTAGTTACACAAGCTGTGAAGAAACTCGTGTTGAGCATCAAGGAGGAGCTGAAAGAAACTTGACGGTATTCTTCCCTGAGGAAACGTGAGGAAACAGATGAGGGTGAAGAGGCTGCCTGGTGCAGCACTGGGGGAGTTCTCAGCACCATACTCCCTACTAAGTGCAGCTCTCTGGGGAGTTCTGGGCAACTAAGGGAGCAAAAAGCAGGGATGTGGAGGGGCCACCTGCAGCGATGTCTCCGGCCAGAAGTCTATGTGCTTGGGAACCAGTGCCATAAATGAGCAGGAGGAGGATGTTACTGTAAAGGACATGGACACCCGTCCACATGTGTAAGTCAGGGAAGTATTTCAAAACTCTGCTGCAAGTACAGGCTTGGCTCACCTGGGATATTCAAGGCACTTTCATCTGATGTAGAGTTGGAGGGATTTTGAATCTTGGGATGGGAAAAGGCTTCTTGGACTTTACCCAAGAATATCACATTAAACAAATTTGACAAACTACATTTACATCTCATTGAAATTGAAACTGTACAAACCATGTAAATATTGTGGAAGGGCACACTGCAGATGAGGAGAAAGCATTTGTAAACTCAATGAAAATTTGACCAGAATATCTCTGGAACATGTGAAATGCCACGAGCCCTAACTGGTGCACAGGTGGGGGTGAGTGTTATTAGACAGGCATCAAGGTGTGCGCAGGTGGGGGTGAGTGTGCGCAGGTGGGAGTGAGTGTTGTTATTAGGCATCAAGGTGTGTGCAGGTGGGGGTGAGTGTTATTAGGCATCAAGGTGTGCGCAGGTGGGGGTGAGTGTGCACAGGTGGGGTGTGAGTGTTATTAGACAGGCATCAAGGTGTGCGCAGGTGGGGGTGAGTGTGCACAGGTGGGGGTGAGTGTTATTAAACAGGCATCAGGGCGTGCACAGGTGTAGAATGGTGACGGTGTCCAGACAGCAGTGTAAGCGAGGAGGCTCACATGTTTGTCTTAGAAGATCAAATGGTGTGGTTATTCCAGAAAAATGGTTTGGCATTGGATGTTATATGTTTATTTGAAAGGTAAATTGATGGAGATTCATTTGTTCATTCATTCTGCAAATGGCCCTTACGCAGGGCATTGGGTCAGGCTAGGCTAAGGAGCTGGGAAGTCCATGCCTGTCTCCCTGGTGGGGTCAGGGACCCAGGTGCTGGGGACGTCCTCCCTGTCCTTCCCAGGAAGCTGGGTCAGGACTGGGACCAAGACTCCAGTTGCAGTGAGCAGCTTAACCTGTTACACCACAAGGCCAACTCCTACAAACTCTCTTAAAGAGAGTAAATGTGTAGGTGTCATGTGACCCATCAGTTGAATGTGCATCTTTGTTGAAGAAATGTTCATTTGTGTCAGAATAGATGCATTTTTATGTGGGGATGTTACATCTGCACTATCCCCAGTGACTAGAGACCAGAAACAGTTCAGATGTCATGAACGGGGACTGATTGAAGAGATGGCCGGGTGTGGCAGAGAGCACAGGGCTGCTGAAGGGGAAAGTGCTCACAGAAGACAGAGCAAGGGAGTAAAGGACGATAGTGTGGAAATGAAACCGAGAGAAATCCCACTTGTAATTTCATCAAGAGGAATTAAATTCTTAAGAGTAAGTGTAACAAAAGAGCAAAGTATGGAGGGTTGTGGAGATGTTAAGGAAGTCCTGAGGTGGTGTGAGGCGGTGTCATGGGAGCAGTACTCACTGAGCTGGTCTCCCCATGGCATCTCAGTTGACATGGAAATGGGGGGACACCGAACAGCCGGTGTGGCTTTGAGTGCTCAACGTCTCCATTTCAGACCTTAACACCAAGCTGTGGTAATGGAGACAGTGTGGAGCTGGTGTGAGTGAGTTCATAACCCAGGCCTGGAACGCGGGGCTAGTTGGTTTTGGTAGGAGCACTTGGAATTGTGGGGTGGGTGGTGTTGGCCAGTCCTGCTGGGATTCCTCTGCATTGCTGCTCCGACCGTCCCTCTTTCTGCTTGCTGCTCTTTCTGTGTCTTCCCAGGCATTCTGCTCTCGGTGCATTTTTTGGGATGCCCCTAGGGTATGCCCCTTACAAGTGATGTCTGCCTTTCACTGTCTGTGTCCCTGGCACCAATCAGACATCCAGGCGTGGCACTGGAGTGTATTCGCTGCAAAGGATTATGCAGGGGTCTTTGAGGTGATGGCCTCCTGAACAGCACATGGCACCTTTCCAGATTGTGTCCCTAGCACGTGTTTGTATAAAGTCTAATCAATTGGACATTTTCACATGATTTTCTGTGTGTGGTTGTTCTATTCCCTGGCTCCGACTCCTGTGTTAGATCTGCCGTGTCCTTCCTCTGCCTCCTGGGAGGCGTGGTTGAACAGGATGTTGGTAGAGTGTGCTTTTGTGGGTATGTATTTATGTATGTTAGTGGTGATCTTTCTAAAGAAATTCTTTCCTACCGAAAAATCATGGAAATATTCTTACAGTGTTTGATGAGTGACAAGGCAGGTCTGTGAATATAAAAACTTCCATATCATCTGTCAGGTGGGTTATTCTGACTTCCCTGTTTGGAGTTGAGGTTGAAGTGCCTATAGCCCTGGCACCATCGCTCCACAGCCCTAGGGGGCCCCAGTCTGTCATCTGTGTCACTGGGGAGACCCTCTCGCACGTGGATGCTGGGATTCTGCCTTGTCCCTAGGGTCTGGGTTGCCACTTCTGATAGGTGGAGTCAGCTGTGGTCCTCTCGGCCTTTGCGCTTCCCTGTATGCATGAGAACTGCCCTTGCTGTCCAAAGCACTCAGAGGCTTGTTTTGGCTTATGTTCAATACATTGATCAGTTTATGAGCTTTGGCTTCTGTAAATGCTGTACATTCTAATTTCTGAGCCTTAAGTGTGTTTATGTTTTATGTAATTTGTGTATTTGAGAGGGAGATACATGGTGAGAAATCTGCAGTTTACTCCCCAAGTGTCCACAATGCCCTGGCCAGAACCAGGAGCCAGGAGCTCTAGCTGGGGCTGCTGTCTGGGTATCAGGGTCCCAAGCCCTCGGGACACTTGCTGCTGTTCCCAGGCCATCAGCCAAGAGCTGGGCTGGACATGGAGAGGTCAGACATGAACGAGCACCTATATGGGAGCCTGGCCTTGCAGGCCTCAGCTTTGCCTGCTGTTCCTCATACTCATCTTCATTATGTTCTGCTACTTTTTTAACTACTGAAGGGAGTGTATTTATTGCTGTTTGTCACTGGTATTCATGTATGATGTTTGTGTGTATGTGCTTGTCTGCACATATGTGTGATCGTGTCTGTATGGGCATTGGTGTTCATGTGTGTACTGAGGCGTGTGTGTGTTTTCTGTGTCATTCATTTTTGCCTTCACATTGTTTCTATCCTGTGCTTTCTGTTGGGTTCATTGGTATTCCTCCATCTCCCGCCCCGCCAGCTCCGTTCTAAAATGTGTATCTCTTCCTCTTTGTTTAGCTGTGTCTGTTTTCCCGATTGACTGTTCCACTCATTTCTGTGTGTCATGATTGTGTTGCTAACTTCCATCAGGGTTTCATCCTTGGCTTGCGTGGTCTATGGATCTCCCCCGTTCATTCTTCTGAGTGTCAGAAAGGAATACTGCTGCCCCAGCTGGTCTCCCTCAGCTTTCAGAAAGCCTGTTTTGTTTCTGCTGATAAGTGATCCATTTTTCTTATTTTCTTTCTAAGTGAAGTGTCTACTTAGGTCCCTCAAAATACACATAATTCATGAAATTATTTGAAATATTACTGTTGTAGGTAAGCAGTTTTTTTCTCTAGGTTGATAGATTTTTCACAGTTGATGGAATTATTAGCAATAATGGGTTAAGGTTATGATTGCTGACTTGTGAGAGCTTTTATCCATGTAATACATTTGAGTTTTTCCTTTTTTTCTCTAGTTTAGAATTGTGTCAATACTTAAGGCTGCATGTAGACAGTTAACATTTTGTATTGTTCTCTGCAGAACCAAAGAATCCCATCGGATATGGTGTTCCTTAGGACTTCAGAAAAAGCAGGTACTTTACTTATTCGCTGCTTTACATTGCTGATGATGTAGTAATTTGTTAGTTTTCATTTTAAAAGGTAAAATAAAATGTATAATTATCTTTCAATTATATTTTGAGGTATTCGTTTCTAGATTACATTTCATTGCTGATATTTAAAAACATGACTTCACCATATATGTGTTTTAAAATAATCCTGCTAACCCACTCACCCAGTGAGAGTTTCCATTCACAGATGACCACTGAAATCCAAGTACATAAATGATTATGTGGCTTAGAATTTGATTGCCCTTCTGCATTGCACTTGGATTCATCAACTCTGCAAACTCCACCTAGAGTTGCTTGGTGTACAAAAGGGGCAAGACTTCATAGGTAGGTTCTGTTGCAGTGAGAAGGCACGTTGTGGCTGTGTTGGAGGGCTCAAAGGATTCTGTTTTAGGTCAGTAGACATGGACTTCACAAAACGCTGATATTACTGTGAGCTTTCCAAAGTGGTGGGTATTGAGAGGGAAGGAGGTGGGACTGCCACGTGGTGAAGTTGAGAAGCTGTGGTGGGAACCAAGAAGCGCCTGGGCAGCTCTCCTACAGGTCCCCAGTGCCCTGGCCTATGGCTGTGTCGTCCACATCACTGGGTGAGGCTGAGAACCGTGGACCGTGCATGGCTTGTTCTGCCTTGATGGGTGAATGAGCGTGTCATACAGGAAGCTCAGCGCATTCTGGTCTGTGAACATTTTAGTGTGAATGCGCCATGTGGGAAGATTTCAGGAGCCCTTATTTAATTTTTCCTCCATTTTTGAGGAGTAATGCTCCTATATCCTCTTTGAGAAAGAGGGAACATCCCTCCTCCTGACCCAGAAGCCTATGCCACAGAGGGGACCGCTGGTCCTCTAAGCCCATTGCCATCTGGTGAGAGGCATGCACATGGCATCCTCTTGACAGGTGACTGTGCAAATGATCTGTTTTGGAGGCTCCAGCCCAGATCCACTTGCTGTGGGTGAAGTGAATGTGAGGTGTCAGGTGCTCTCCCAGGCCTTCTTGGGCCTTGCGCCCTTCGTGCTCTGGCTGGGAAGCCTGGGACTGCATCTTCCATGGCTGCCATTGTCATTGGGGTGGTGACCCCTGGAGATCTGGTGGGAATAGGAGACATGGCCCACTGTGTTTCTGCCTTCCGATTTAGTAAGGCAGTATACTAGGGAGGGAACTCTGTCGCTGTGCTTGCTATGCTTCTTAGGGTATTTGATATGTGTGTCTCTGTTACTTTCTTACTGCCTTCTTTTGTTTTAAACCAGTATTTTCTATTGTACTGTTTTAATTCCTGTCCCTTCTGTCAGTATGTATTATTTCATTATTGTTGCCACAGGGATTGTATTGAACACATTCTTAGCTGAATTTAATATTGTTCTTGAAGAAATGCTGCTGGAATCACTGCAGGCCTGCTCAGTTGTTAGGCTTCTGATACATACTCTCATGCAGATACAGAGAAGTCGAGCCGTGGAGGTTTTGATGCCACTGTCCTGCTCCCTGCATGTGTTCTTTATTTATAGTAAAATGTTTGCATTTGAGAGGTACCCTTTTAATGATTTCAGGGGAAAGTATGTGGGGTTAAAACCACTATCCTAAATATGGAAATGGTTTTGGGTGAGCATTCTGGCACATAAGGATATGATTGTGACCAGGGCAGACAGTGGAGCGGTGGAAAATGTCCACTTTTCCAGAGGAGGAGAGTGAAGATGGTGGACACTAACACCTTATGGAAGATAAATGTGTCAGCTCAGCCATTTTCATCATGTCCTCACTGTGCCAGAGTAGGATAGCCAACCAAGCAGAAAGGGAGTGTTAGAGCACTGGGCCCTGGAGGTGCTGTCTGTGGTGCTGACCATGGTGCTGACCGGGTGGTGAAGGCCATACCCAAGTAGGAATGGAGTATTAGAGCACTGGGCTCCAGAGGTGCTGTCTGTGGTGCTGACCATGGTGCTGACCGGATAGTGAAGGCCATACCCAAGGCAGTCCTGTTGTGCAGTCTCTAGGTTTGCTGTGCGGTCTGTTTTGTGAGGAGAATTACTTTCTGATCTAGGTCATTCACTAGTCTGAGGGCCATGGATCCCTGCAAGAGCCTTAAGAATTTCCACCTTGTTCCCCCAAAAAATGCATCTGAAATAAGTGAATATGCAATTTTGGATTGTTTTAATATTGCTAAACAGTAACATGGAATTTGGGCTTAAGTGTTGTCTGTTTTAACTTAGTTTTCTTACAGTCCTTAGTTTTATTTTTTTATTTAATTTTAAGTCACTGGAACAATTACTGATTACTCATATTTCAGGTATTAAGATACCAGATTTCATTTCATACTGTTTTTCTTCTATTTAAAGATTTATTCAAGTATTTATTATTTTAAATGCAGAGGAGGAATAGAGACCTCCTCTCCACTGGTTCCCTCCCCAGATGGCCGTGACAGCCACTTCTGAACTAGGCAGGAGCCAGGAACCCTACTTCTACTTTGTCTCTCACTTGGTGGCAGTGAGACCTGTGGGGCATGTGGGGCCATGTCCCACTGCCCTCCCAGGTGCGTCTGTGGGGATCTGTGACCCACAGCACGTTCCCAGATAGATGCTGGTGTTGCTAGCGCGCCCTGAGCTGTCTTCCGTAGCATCCAAGCTTTATACACTGGTCAGAACGTTATTGTCCATCAAGGTTTCTTTGCTTTCAGAATTGTTTTTTTGTGATTTAATTTTTCAAATTTTCATATTGCCTAGTTTTTCTTGTTTTTTGTAAGACTGTATATTTAACATTTGTTTGTGTTCTTTTGCCACCACTTCCAGTGATATCTGATTCCTTTTTAGTGTCAGATGTAGAAATCCTAACCGTAACTGGAATCTTTGCACTTGAGCCAGTGTGGACATTCTGAATGTAGACGCTATCCCTCTGGGCAGTGACGGCAGCTGAGGGTGCTGGCCGCTGGCTTCCTGTTGACTGGGCATGAATGCTGAGGGTTGTGGGGCTGACGGTTTAGATTGTAAATGGAGCTGTCGATGAATCTGCTGACTGATGGCTTAAATTCCAATTAATCAATTACTTCATCAGTTTCATGATTTAGATCAAATATTTCTTAAGTGTACACAGTTGTTTTAGCAGTATTAAGAGAAATGAACGCTTTAGAACTAATTTTCATCAATCTCATATAAATGCCGATATCTCTTCCACTTGTCTCCTAAGTGGTGACAATAAAGGTCTGAGTGTCATGGATTTTAGAGCAGAGCCATCACTGAGGAGTGGGCTGAGTGGCAGCTAAACAACACCCCACTCAGCCCATCCACGTCCTTCTTTGGGGCAGCTTGTCTTGCTGCCAGCTTCACAATTTCATATACAAGGGATATAACAATGAAGTTTAGTGGCCAGTGATGTGGTGTGATTAATCCCACGTCCATGTCTCTCTTTGGAGTGCTGAGCTGTTGCAGGCAGCATGCTGCAGAGCTGGGCCAGCCGCCACATTGAGAAGCGCTGGTATCAGTCCCCTCCCAGCCCTTGTGCAGCCTTCCTGTGAGGCCTGCTCACCATTGGAGCTTAATTACTTCCTTCCCTGTGGCCTCCTGTCAGTGACGCAAAATAGAGTCAGGGTCCACCAGCAACCTGTGATGGGACACAAGCAGAACAATTGGATCATTCACTTTTACCAAGTCTACCTGACATCTGTTGTACATAGTAATCTTTTTAAGAAAAAAATGCATCACCAGAGTTCTCGCTGGGTAGATATGCAGTTTGCCATCCTTCTGGTTTTGCTACAGTTCACTTTTCTTTCCTTAAATACACCAATTGAAGTGAAGTTAGTAATTTTAAATGTACCTGAGGAAAAATAATATATCATTCCCCTCGCCACGTTTTAAAAGTAGCATATACTTCACATGAAGCATGTTGTTGTTGTTGAAGCAAAGATACTTCCTTGTTTCCAGTATTAGTTTTAATGTAGATAATCCTGAGACACTGTGTCAGGGTCACACTGTGACACTGAGACACCGTGACAGGGTGTCACCTGTTGTTATGTTAGTGTAGATGCTCCTGAGACACTGTGACAGGGTGTCACCTGTTGTCGTGTTAGTGTAGATGCTCCTGAGACACTGTGACAGGGTGTCTGTCACCTGTTGTCGTGTTAATGTAGATGCTCCTGAGACACTGTGACAGGGTGTCACCAGTTGTTGTGTTAGTGTAGATGCTTGTGAGACACCGTGACAGGGTGTCACCTGTTGTTGTGTTATAGTGTCGATGTTCCTGAGACACCGTGACAGGGTGTCACCTGTTGTTGCGTTAGTGTAGATGCTCCTGAGACACTGTGACAGGGTGTCACCTGTTGTTGTGTTATAGTGTCGATGTTCCTGAGACACTGTGCCAGGGTGTCACCTGTTGTCGTGTTCTGAGACACTGCAGGGTGTTACCTGTTGTTTTATACATCGTTCAGAAAAGCAATCTAGCTTGTTTTCAGTTTGTTTCGTGTTTCATATCAGGGTACATGCATGTGTCTTTTTTATTTTTGTATTTTAGTTAAAGTTTACCTAGTTGATCAAGTGTGAAGGTTCCATGGTTAGGGAGAAGTGTGTGATCGTTGTTTCCAAACTTTCTATTTCTTCCCATTTCTTGGGGGAGGGAGGAGACAGGGGTAAAAGCCATGCCCAGCCTCCCAACCATCCCATTACCCAGGGATGGAGAATGGCCATCTGCTATCAGCCCGTTGTCCTGATGTGGTGCATGCTTTGCAGGTTCTGCCCAGATGGATGCAGTAGTTCTGAAATGCTCTTGATGTCACCGATCGAAGGATGAGGAAACCCTTCCAGTGTCCATTGCTGACATAGTCAACCTTAGAGTTTCCATCTGCCCAAATATTTGCTGTCATCCTTTGGCTAGGAAAATTGTCTATATGCTCTGTTCTCCATTCTCTGTTATGGCACTAGCTGTCCTTTGCAAGCCCCAGTAGGCTATCATATCCTCTATGTGCACCAAGGCTTCCATCCACCACTCCATCC